CTGCAAGCAAGGATTTAACACTCCATATAAACTAACAGAACAGTTGTCACTGAATGAGTTTTTGAGAGTTCTTTAAAGGGTATTTAGTTCTTTTCTATGAAAAAGATGAAAACAGTACATATGGTCCTCAACTTACAACAGTTTGCTTAGTGACCATTTGAAGTTACAATGGCACTGAAAAAAGTGACTTATGATCATAAGTGTTGCAGCACTTAACTGTGTTACTAATTTAATAACTGCAGTGATTCACTTAACAAAAGTGGCAAGAAAAGTCATAAAATGGGACAAAACTCACTTAGCTAATTTCTCACTTAGCAATGTAAAATTTGGGCTCAATTGTGGTCGTAGGTTGAGGACTACAGGTACCTGTATTCGGACAGATTCAGTTGTTAATGGAATCTGGCTTCCCCATTGACTTTGCTTGTCAGAAGTTTGCAAGAGGATCACGGGACCTTCGGACAAAGCAACGATCATGAATATGAACCAGTTGCCAAGCATCTGAATTTTGATCACATGATCGTAGGGATGGCTACTAAGGTTGTATCTCTGAAAAATGGTCATAAGTAACACTTTTCAGTGCCGTTGTAACTTTGAATGGTCACTAAATGAACTGTTGTGAGTTGAGGACTAACTGTATTAACTGTTGTTTAACATACAGATGAAACCAAGTAATTCTTCTATATAAAATATTTCTAATTATTATGAGTTATTAATTCATTTTCTGTACAAGACCACAGCAAATTAAATTGTAGGATGACTGATATATATTCCTGGTGATTTTTTGCACTTTCCTCAGTTTCTTCTTTTACGAAAACAATGCAGATGTTTACAGAGTCCTTAATATTTAGAATAGTACTTGGTTAAGGTTTGAGAAAGGAACTGAGTAGATACCAAGGCGTTTGATAAAATGGATGAAAGCTGATGCTTTTCCTGCTGTCCCTCACATCTGTTATAGTACTAATTTTGGACTCTAGTAGTAGCACAGCTGCAATGCATCTCGATCCCATTCACATAAACTTACTTGGTAAAGGGTTGGAAGCTGAGCAGTTGTGTTATTCAATATGATTAAAGACGACCAATTTTTATCTACCATAATATTCCTGAGCTTAAAAAATGATGACCTGCACCAATCAGATGTGAAAAAATATGTAGAGACTAGTGGTGGGTTGCTCACCAGTTTCCTACCGGTTTGCTCATGCGCGCGCAAACCTTCTGCACATGCTCAGAAGCGTCCAGGTGGGTGGGCGGAGCCTCCCACCGCCACCATTACCAGTTTGGCCGAACCAGGCTGAACTGAGAGCAACCCACCTCTGGTATAGACCTGGATCCAGGTTGCTCAACGAATAACTGG